TGAGATGTTTTGATGTAACAACACTCAATGAAACAACAAGAAAGATAAGGCTCAAACAACATGGAGTCAATTCTCAACACTGAACTACACAATAAATGATTTGTAAACAGTTATGTAACCAAACTTGCCATAATTATTGCTTCGAAAAATAATTTTCTTTAATGCTCGCACTATATAAACTAAATAATACTCTTGCATTAACTTAAAATGAACAGTCATGTATATCTAACAATGTGTTTCCTGTGGGAATAAAGTTTGATCTGAAAGTGAAATTGACAACTCTCTGTACAAAAATGAAAAAGAAGGTAATAGAACACATCATTTGATAGATTCAAACTCTGGCTTTCTACTATTTATAAATAATATAGTATTAAATGTCAGAGAGAACTACTGGAAACTTGTGAAAGAAAGGATGTGAAAGGTGGACATGGCAAAGGGGTCTGATTTTTCAATTTATGGCTCTGAAAAAAATTAGATTGAAGCCTATAAAAATTATGCTGTGCCCAAGTGATGACAACATTATAATGAGTAATTTATGTTAAATTTCCTACTTTTCGGAGCGATGGTAAATAAATCAGAGAAGAGGGGATACCCAGAGAGCAAATTTCACAATTCTCATACTAGGGAAAATTGAGGATTTTTTCAATATTGTCTTATCAAATTAAGAACTCTTAAAACTTACATAATATTACAATTTTTGATTATTAGTTACAGTTTGATGCCAGTTTTATGTTTATTCATATACCATGATAATAAAGTACTTTAATTAAATTTTGAATGTAACTCATTAAAACCTTGTAACATGCACAGAAAAAGATGCCCACAGCAAAAATGTTAAAGCACAAGCATTTCATATAAGTTTATCATTTATCAAAGATAAATATTTTAAAACCAAAACTGTCTTCTGGATGTTTCTTGCCATTTTTGTGTTTCTGGTAGGCAGTAATGGATACTAGACTTAAATCCAACATTTAACAACAATCTTGTTACTCATTATTCAACTCCCCTACATCAACAAGTTATACTCATTCTAGGAAGCACTGATGGATACTAGACTGAAATCCAACACTTAATAGCAACCTTGTTATTCATTATTCAACTCCCCTATATTCACAGATTTTACTCATTCTAGGAAGCACTGATGGATACTAGACTGAAATCCAACACTTAACAGCAATCTTGCTATTCATTATTCAACTTCCTTAGACCTGAAACATCAAATAAACAAATTACTATTGTATTTAGTAATTTCATTATGACTACTAAGAAATTAATAATTAACAGTACCACTGCATCTCTTCTAAATAAAAACAAGACCTTGGCAAAGTGATAAGTCATTAGAAATACCAATAATGTTAATACAACCGAAGACTTTAAATAAAGTTTTTTTGTTTTAACCTAGCCCGAAATAAGTGACAGTACTCGGCAAAGTCAACACAAGAAACAAAGCAAGCACAAAAAAACAAATAAACTATGCCTTTTAATAACGTGGTAATTTTAAGGTTGAACCTCAACTACAGGCACTCAATCTCCACAAAAACTAAAGGCCCATAAAATGAAGATCCACAATTACAGAACACAAGTTTATAAGAAAATAAATTTCAACACTTTCACGTATCATCTTCAGTCAAACTTTTGTGGAAGTACCAAGATACTTCAAGATATAAGACATCAGAAAGGGATGCAGCCTCGAGTGACTTTCAGAGGGGTTAAATTTGACAGGATTTATATTATCACACTTTCCAAAATTCTTCTTTTGACATAATTTTATTTTATATATTGTTCTGATTACTTTCCAGTTGATTTGATGATCAAAATTCCTTAGAAAAAACAGCATTAGTTGTTTGGCTATATTTAATTGGACCATTTAAAGTTGGACTGAAAAGAACACGTAAAAGTGTCAAAAGTTGTTTCCACATAAATTTATGTTCTGTAGAAGTGGATCTTACCTCATATTACAGTTCTTTGTATGGTATTATATATTTACCTACTATTAGAGGTACTTAATGTGTGGAAAGATGGGTGTAGTGCTTTGCCCACAGGTGAAGATACAAGACATGGAGTTGAAGTCAAAATGAAAAAAAAAAAAAACCTCACTGACTGGAGAGAAACTGGAAGAAGCAAACATTCTGGTGGAGGGATGGTTGCAGTGAAAAATGTAAATAAATAAAAATAAAAGCTAAACTGTATTTAAACAAGAAGAATAAAATATAACTGCACTTAAAAAAAATAACTGGGTGAAATTAATTTTCAATGACAGATAAGACACAAATGAAAGAGTTGATAAGTACCTTGACTTGATATTCTACAGGAAGTAACACCTCAGACAGAATGAGATATGGAGTATTTAGATACTAAAACAACATTTTATCTCACTAAAGATTGGTAAAGATAAGACAAGTACACTAAATTTTCAACCAAATTTTCCTTTAAAGACTAATTGCATGGTAAGTACAAATATTTATAGCAATAACAAACATTTTGAGCAAATAGTTTTATGAATAACTAAGTAAAATACATTTGTACATTTCACGTTTACAGTGACTTTTCAAAAAATGTGTTAAATTCATCAGTAACAATACTCAATTTTTTTTTTCTGTGTTGAAAAATTTTAAAACAAGCCTAGTTACAGTACTATTCAAAAATACCTGAAAAAGTATGCAGGTGGCACTGTAACCAATTAAGAGTAGAAGCTTACTAAACTAGACACACACACATCAAGCTGTAAAATTCAGACTAATATACTCACAAAATCTTCAACAATTTCTTTTATAGCTGAAACAGTCAATATGAACAACAATGGCACAGCTGTTGTGTAGCGACCAGTAGGAGATACATTGGGAATTTGCTATTTAAAAATAAAAAGGTATATCTGGGAATGAAGCCATTTGAAGTTTTAGGTAAGCATTTGCATTAACAAACTGATTAATAACAAAAAACATACAACAAATATTTGATAAAAAATAACAAATATGTAATGAAATAAATATTCAGTTACATATATATAAAATTACTAGTTTACTTTAGATAACCAAGTTATCTTTATGTAAACATCCAGCATGCACTGATTACGCAACATTGATTTCACCAGTCCTGTTCGTAAAGCAGCTGGGAGAATCACACTTATTCTTATTTCTACAAAATAAAGTGTTCAAATGTACAAGTGATGGGCAAGTGCTGGAATTTTACAGAATTAAAACAGAGTTCATAGCTAAACTAGATGTTTAGACAGTACACGATAAATATAACTTTTGATAAATAGTTAATTAACTAAAAACACATTGCTAAAGCCCCTACATTAGCCCAAGAGTTGGTGGGACATTTCTTATTATGGCTGTAGCCAAAAGATTTCAAGTTTTTATAAATCTAATTTAATTTAAATGCTGAATATGAATATTATATTCTTAGTTGCATCAACTTGTGCACTTGTCTGAAATACATGCACAAATACACCAGAATGAAGTTCAATATGCCAAATAAAGAAAATAACCTTGGGATCACAAACATGAATGGATTTGCTCAAATGCATACAAGACCAATCTTTTAAATCAGTAAACATTTGACCTGGGGTCTGGGTCATTTGTTGCTATAAAGCCCATTAAGTTCAGAAAATATGACAGAATTTAAGCAGAATTTTAATAGTTTCTTTAATTTTAAATATTCAAATCAATAATACAAGATTGCGTTTGTCATTTATTAAAAGAATTCTGTGCATACTATGATCTTTTTATTAACTATCATAATTTTTCTTGCAAATGAAAAGTCCAAGACAACCTATATGAAGTGAATAAAACTTTAGCAAAGCTGAAACAATCTAAAGCACAGAATACTAATTGTAGAAACTAGCAAAGCAGCAAACAACTGATTAAAACAGTGGAACAAACAAGAAACTTTAAATGTTTTGAATGTGACTTTCAAGACCACATTGCCAGGAATTTCTCAAGGGTAAAGCAACATAAACAGTGTTTATGCACTTAGAATAAGAAATAAGATTAGGGAGGGCTAAGAAGCTCATAAATATTAAGAAAAAGCACATAAGACAAATGCAAAAAATTCACAATCTGTGGTAACAACAAATGCAACTCCACGCAGAATTATGCAAGTAAAGTAGTTCCAGCAGGAAATGTTAACAAATCAAGTTTTCTTGGAGTCAATGTCACTTTTTCTAGTAGTATAAAAGTAGAAAGTATAAAAATTTTACTATTTAATGGTAAACTGCACCTCAAAATGAAAACAGTATACTTCAAAGAAATATCTGTTTGTTTTGTCCGAAGCTAAATAATAGGCTATGTGTGCTCTGTTAACCATGAGGACTCAAAGAAATAATTTCTAAATTATGTACTAATGTAGAAATCCATGTTCTCTTAAGCCAATACAACTGTACAGCGAAGCGTTTGAATGAGTAAAACTAAATATTAGATGTCAAAACATTATATCTCCTAGTAGTGATACTTGATACACATAAAGTAATTTTAAGTGCAATAAGAAAAATAAGGCTAGCATTAATTAGTATAAAAATACTTTAGTTATGAGAAAGAGTAACTGCAGAGGAAATAACTGAAAATAAAGCAGGAAGTGAAAATAAAATGAAAGACACATAAATAGTAGTGGACAACTACATAATCATACAAAGCCGTCAGATGACTTTACATCCAAGGCAGGCAGAAGAGCATTCTAATAGGCGAGTCTATAAAATTATTAGAAGTTACTCAAATGCCTGAAAGAAATCATGTTATCGCTAAAGCTAAAGCAGATGGTTTGAACAAAATTATTGCATTTTGAGCCATTCAGAGTTGATGAGTCAGGTATATATAGGTATATTTGCATGTATAAATGGTGTCTGAGCAAGGCACTTTGTCTACAAGTTTAAACCATAAATGAGAGCACAGTAATCATACCAAAATACATAATACAATGTAAAGCTAACAAAGTAGAAAAAGAAGCTTCAGTATATAATGATATATGAAGTGTATGTAGAGTAAGAATGACCAGGATACAATATTAGAAGATGTAACTGGCAAGCAAAGAACTAATAAGCTTATTAGAGACATATATAAAGCCATACTTATGGAAGGTGATCTAAATAGTTGTAATAATACAGTAAAACATGGTAATAATAAGCAGTAGTTCTACAGCACCAGATTCTATGCAGTGCCAGAGAAATAGACAATATAAATAAAAAACAGTGTAATTGATATGCCTGAATAGTGTTATAGCCATCATTAGCAGTTGTAGTACTGCATTCATAGTTTTAATTCAAAAGAATGATAGAAAATTACACTTTTGTACTGACCTTAGAAGGATTAACAAGATCATGGCCAAAGATGCATATCCTTTAGTGCTTATAAATAAACTCCTGAAATTACATCAAAGCAGGTATGTTTTTAATCAATGGAATGAAAAGTATTAGGTTGTCAAGAAATAAATGTCGCATTTTGCAACACTTTCATCAACCACCCCCCCAAAAAACATACGTCACGTATAATAGTTAAATGAACCGCCTAAACGTCACATCAGTGTAGCTTATATAATATGTAAAGTTTATAAAACTCTAATCTCTTATAATGATGGCACACGAGACACATTCGGCATGTAATGGTGTTTGAATACAAGAAGGGAAACAATGCCTCTGTAGCCACAAAAAATATCAAAGAAGTTTATGGAAATGTTTTGAATGTTCGTAAGTGTCAATGATGGTTCAGCAAATTTCATTCTGATGACTTTAGCCTTAAAAACTGTGATGGCAGAGGCCAACATGTTGGAATTTATATTGATACTATGAAGATGCTAGTTGAGTCTAACCAAAGGCAACACATTCGAGAAATGGCCCTGAAATTGCATGTCTCTCACGAAACAATACATAAAGAAACAATAGATAAAAAATCTAAGGAATATGGGAAACCTCCATAAAGAAGGTGTTTGGGTGTCTCACGAACTCTCCAATGATCATCGTTGCTTTATCTTTTCTGGCCCGTAATGCATGTGAACCATTTTTGGACAGAACTGTCACGGGTGATGAAAAATGAATTCTCTGTGCAAATATTAAATGCCAAAAACCTGGACTCCATTTGTAGAAAGTGATGCTTTGCATTTGGTGGGACATCAGAGGAATAATTCATTTCGACCTCCTCAATCCACAGTGAACTGTTAATGCAGAGATCTATAGTCAGCAACTAGAACATTTAAATCAAGCCTTTCATCAGAAACACTCATCAATTGGAAAGGTGTTGTTCTTCTCCATGAATATGTACGTCCACATGTGGCACATTTGATGCAATACAAGATTATGGTTGGGAAATTCTCCCCCACCCACCATATTCTCCAGATATGGCACCATCAGGTTATCATCTTTTTCATTCGCTGCAACACCATCTTAATGGGAAAACATATGCAAATGTGGAAGGTGTTAAAGAGGACATTGCCAAGTGATTTCTTCAATTAGGACATTAACAACCTGATTGTAAGATGGAAAAGCATCATCGATAAGAAGGGAGACCATTTCATTTACTAAATGTTTTGTTTTGACATTAATTTCTTGACATCCTAATATTTCTTCTAAATCTAGTACAATGAATTAAAGCATATTTTTATTATAGTTATATAATTGTTCTAAATAAACACTATATTTCTTTGATAATTTATTTGTCGTAAGTGTAAATCATTTGTTTTTCTGTACATGATTCAGTTCCCTATTATTGTGTTATCTCACTTTCATTCAATAAAACCAATGTTTAGTTATAAATAGAAAATAATAAGAGTTTGTTTTCAAGGCTACATTCATTACTTCTATTCTCATAAAACTTCAAAGACTAATGTGTTGGAAAATCCATAAACAAGATTTCATTAAAGAGGCCGACAATCGAAAGCAAATGCAACATGTCTCTGCACACAATCTCAACATAAACAAATTTGCCACCAGAAAAAACTTGAAAACACATAAAAATCAAAAACTGTGTATATCACTGCTTGGGACTTGCAAGAACAAGTTATTTGACGTAAAAACATGAAAATCCAAATTGTGCTTTCCTCATTGAAAAATTGAGCAAAAGACAAAAATTCCAAAATTGTCTATATCTCTGCTTGGGACCTGTAAAAAAGTATTTATGTACCAAATCCCATGTAAATTAGCTGAATAAGGTGGAGTAATTTTCAGAAAACCCTAAAGTTATGCTTTGTTGTGGCATCTTGTCCCTTATAATTATTAAAAATAGGCAATTCCAACATTTTTGTTTGTCAATGTGTGTTGCCTGTAGAAAAATATCTTTGTACCAAATTCTGTGTAAATTAGTCAGAACAAGGCTAAATAACTGATCAAAACCCATAAAATTATGGGTTTAATTAAACCTTTTGCCCCTCCCCCACCCCCTAAAATGATCAAATATGGGCATATGTATGGAGCCTGTAAAAAAGTATCTTTGTATGAACTCCCACATAAATTAGCAGAAATATGGTGAAGTAACTGTCAAAAAACCCTAAACTTATAATTTTTGTGGCATCTTGACCCCCAATAATTACTATAAATGGGCAAGTCCACCATTGCTTTTGTCAATGTGTTGGACATGTAGAAAAGTATCTTTGAACCAAATCCCATGTAAATTAGTCAAAATAAGGCTGAACAATTAACCAAAAACCCAAATATTATGTTTTTTTGCAAGATTTGACACCCCCTAAAAAGACTAAAAATGAGCAAATCCAACTTTTTATGTCAATTTGTTGAATGCATGAAAATTGATATTTGTTTCAATTTTCATTTTGATTACTGTAAACATGACTGCACAGGAACCTAAAATATACATTTTTGGATTGTTTTACCTCTGACCCTATAAAATCCTTAAAAAGGCTTAATTGAAAAAGGTGTCTCGGCATATTGGACCAAGATATAACTTTGCCAAGTTTCAAGTCAATTTGCTGAGAAATGAAGGAATGGTAGTCAATTGAAAAGTGTTTGGAAGAAGAAGAAACATTAGACTAACTCTCTATAGAAGCATAAATATCAAAACTTGCAATATCTAGAGTACAGCACAATCACTGTCATAACATAAATCAACCATCTATGAAAGTTCATCTGAGATCATTACTGAAAAGTGTTTTAATTCGTAAAAACACATTCATAATTAAATATCATGAAACACACTATTTTATGTGATTTGTAATTATATAAATAATTTTAACAGTTTTTCACAATATGAACACAATCACTTTGTTTTGCATCACAACAACTTTGAAAGGAACTTGGGTTCCTCTCATGTTACCATCAATGTAGGCACTATGGAGCTAACTAGGAAGATGGCATGTATGTACAAGACTCAGTGTGAACTTCAACAAAAATAAACCCCTTATTAACTCTCTCAACACGGGATCAATTTGACTGACCATGTGACCTCTTTGTACTCATTTAGTCTTTACAGATTTAATACTTCTAACTTGCAATATAGTGTGTATATCTTCACAAAATTTGTCAGTCTTTCAGTTAATATTATAAGTTTTTCACATACAAAAATCCATTTTTAGTGAAGTATATTTAATAAAATAAAATAAAGATTTATCCACGAATATACTGAGTATTTGTTTTGAATTGTCTGTGTGTAAAAACATTTTCATGTTAAAATCAAAAATACTTTTCCTCATCTCAAAAATCTCAAATTTCCTTTGTGTAATCCCTAAAACCTCCTAAATGCATTTCAAACTTTATTTTCAGTAAAACTTTATAGTTTATCTGTTATTTTCTCTACCCTATCTCAAAACGGAATCGATCAATTTGACCAACCTTGTAACTACCAAAAAATATCAAAATAAATCTAAATTACCCTTTTTTCGTTCTAGACGGACTTCAAATTGTAACATGAAACTACATTCGTTTATCCTAAGTAGCTCTAAGTTCATAACAGTATACATCTAAAGAAATAAAATACATAATCAATCTTTTTTCTTGCTGTTGGTTTTTGAAGAGAGTTAACCCTAATTTTTTATACTAATGATAGTAATGCACTTAATAATTTTTATTTAATTAAACAATGCATCAAACAATATAGACTAATAACATGCAAAGAGTAGACAAATTCCCTTACCTCTCAAACTTTTTCTGACTTTCTAACTATGCAACAAAAGCCATTACAAATTCATCTAGGCTAGTTGTTCCTTTCCCATGGGAACGATGTTGGTACTATGAGTGAAATTGACATCTAACTTTTCAGAACATAACATTATATAATACGTCATTTGATTGATTATAACCTTGACTTTCTATTGAATATAGGTGATATATAATGAAACGTATGAGAAAACTATTAATGAATTCTGAAAGAGAGGATGTGTCAGGTGGGTGTGGCAGGAGTGGTCTGATTTTCTATTCAATAGCTCTGTAACCAAACAAAATTGAAGACTATAAAATTTATGGTTTGTCTGAACAATAACGATTTCATAGAGAGTAATTTACATTTAACTTCGTACTTTTTTGAGGAGTGGTGGATTAAACAGGGATGATGATGGCATGCTAAGAGAAAATGTGTCGCGTGGGTCACACTAGTGGAAATTCTGTTTTTTTTAATATTGCCTGTAAAATTAAGAAATTAAAACTTGTATTCTATTAAAATATGGATTATTAGCTAAGATTTTATGCTATTCTAATTGGTATAACATAAAAAGTAGTTTAATAAAATTTTGAATGTAAGACTAAAACCTTGTGTCATGCACAGTAAAGGATGCCCATGACAATAGGGTTAACTGTAGAAAGGAAACAATAAGGGCTAGAACAACTAATGATCATCTAGCTATAGGATACTCTATTGTTGGTCATGAAGTTAAAATAAATAAAGAGATAACTGTGTCTAATTAGAAAAAATGACAGTAAACTATACTTGAAAATAAACTGGTGACCATTATTGATGACTAACTAAAAGAAAAGCAAACTGAAAGATGCAAAAAGCGAAAATGCTTCTCTACAACTCCTGAATTTTCCAAAAGAGAAACAAACCTGGTTGAAAGGTCCCATAATTGTTCTCACGTTCCATATCATTTCAGCAGCTGGTCAAAAAATTGGGTCACAAGTATCTAGAAATATCTCTGCTCCATGTGACATATCATAGTGAAATCCCACAAACATAAAGTAAAGTACAACACAATACAACAATCCCATGTATTTTGTTTTCCCCACCATCATGCCCCAAGTTGAAAAACAAATGTGGTCTAGCTAACAAATGGATATTTTCTACAAAATTCTTATAAAATGCTGTAAGTGTTGCTACCAATTTGGCCACCAATTTTGATTTCATTCCTTTAAGTTGCAAACACAATCCTTATTTGGCCATACATTTTTTTCACACCTAAGGTGTTTTTGATTATATAAAAAAAACTATGTTGGGATGGTTATGATAACCAAGTGTTTGTTTTGATATGCAGGGGAATTATATAGAATACTTCAACAACTATCAAGTTTGTTTGTGACTATGAAACTAGGCCCCTTGGGACAATGTGTAAATTTTTAGATTGTGCCAATACCTCAAAAGAGTGGAAGTAGTGTTCTTCAGTAAATAACATCTACTATGGTAGCAGTTTGTGAATTTAAAGACAAAATTATAATAATTAACTTGTATAAGCAACACTCTCTGAGCATGGCTATTTTATGTCTCTTAAAAATAATTATAACTGACAGCTTTTACATAAAAAGTTCTAGATAATTATAATTAGACTGTAACCTCATTTTTTTATCATTTTGGTATTAGTGAATACAAATGCTTAATTTTTTATTTAATATAGTTCTGTTATAAGCTGTGACATGTTTCAGTTTATACAAAAGGCTTGCTGAATTTCATCACATAATAGCAGCTACAGTATGACCATATGATATTTCCCACTAAACAAAAATATTAATGTTTTCAGTATATTTTTGACATGATTTATTTTTACAAGTCTTTTTTATTTGTTAATAGTTGTTGATCATAAATTTGGTTTAAGGGAAATAGTTCCATATTGACACACCACCCTCAAAGCAAAGAAATTTAAAGAAAACAGATAAAAAAAAACTTGCACGCAAGTTTACTAATTGAACAATACCCAAAAAGTAAAATCAGAATCTAACTCAGAAAATAAAATCAACCAAAACAGTTACTAAACAAATTTTGTCCCGATACGCAACTCTGACATATCATGACGTAGCACTAACACCAAAATGACATATAAATGAGGAAAACAAAAAAACTAATATGCTGTATATTTAAAAAGTGCACTTGTTAAATAAAATGGAACAGAATCAAGTACAAACTGATTAGGAAGTATTCCTATTACAAGACGTAAAGCTGTTACATACTCAAAACCTTTGTAAATTTCATACAAACATATATTTACACATTTTTGTTTTTCACAGTAATATTACTCTATGGAATTTTAATATAGCTAAATGATGTATACATGTACAGATTGTTTTATTTAAAAAGATATTCAATTTGTTTACTTACTGATATTTAGGGGACCTGTAATATATTCCAATGTTAATGTGGTTGCTGTACTGATTTAAGTACAGCTGAGGGCTTGTATTGATTGACATTCTGCACTAAACAATTACTGTATGACATATGATTTCATGATCTTCTTAGCTCAGTTAATTTGTATTAAAAACTGTTGTCACTTTAACAATTTATAAAATACTAGGCCAACATATTAGTCTAATCAGATATACATGTGCATATGCAAATATTATTTGAAAAAAAGATTGTAGCTCTTTTACTTCAAGATATCCACTTCGGGAGAAAATAAAATCTAATATCCTTGGTAGAATATCATGTTACAACGTGCAAGTACAATGGACATGTAGTAAATGTAGATTTATCTGAAATTTGACACAACATAGGTAACTTTCATAGAAAAAATGTTTGTTTATTGAATTTTGTGCAAGGGCTATCTGCATTAGATATCCCCAAATTAGAAATGATAAACTAGAGGAAAAGCAACTAGTCTATGACACCCACTACCAACTCTTGGGCTACTATTTACCAATGAAAAGTAGAATTGGTCATCACATTATAATGCCCCATAGCTGAAAGAGCAAGCATGTTCAGTTATGGAATTTAAACCCGTGACCCACACGTTTTGAGTCAAATACACTAACTACCAGCTCATACCAAGTCTTCACATAAAAAAAATCACATAAACCTACCTGTAATAGAGCAATGAACAAGAAGAAAACATTAGAATATCGTCGAAACTGTTCAAAAAGGAATTTTGGCAGGAAGGAGATGAAATTGTATTTTGCAGTGCTAAAATGTAAGACAAGTCACAAATAAGACATACAATAATTCTTTTACTAAAAATCATTAATAAAACAAAATATAATTTCATATTTCAGCATCTTTAAGATATTTTAAAAACAGAAACCTAAATTGTTGTTTTTATCTTTCACTTGATTTTAAATTTAAAAAAAAAGAAACAAGTAATGGCCTTTATTATCATTTTCTGCCAGAAATACACTAGCCTAAAGCAATATTTTCACCCATAATATCCCCTTGGGCACAGTATCATACATTTGAAATATTTCAAAGTCTTACTTTGTCATCATCATGAGTCCCATGTCAATACATGATGACTGTATGAAACTGTGACCAGTCTCATTTTTAAATATCTACTGTATGCCATTAAACAGTGGTTTTCTTTTAACATCTCTGTTTTTTAAAATTTACACGAGTGTCAATTTAACCTTAATAAGTAAAAATAATGTTCAAGAGAAGCACTTATTCCAAGAAAACAAGTGTAGATTTACATTTTGTGTATTTATTACTCCCAATTTTATCACTCCATCTCACATATGTTATACCATGAATAGTCTCTCTAAGCCCCTAACAACTACATATAACTGAATCAGGTCATTTCTAATTCTCTTTTATTCCACTACCATAAGAACATGTATAAGTCTAGTTCCAGTGGTTGGGAAACATTTCTCTAGAGAACTGCAGTGGATACATATAAAAGATGCACTATAAAACCTTTGGTTTAACCTTCAAAAGCTTGATATCAAATAAACATTTTGATTATTAAGTAAATGTATTAAATAAAATCAATAATTTCATAAGCACTTTAAAAAATCATAATTGTTCCATATTAATTTGCTAATTTTGGAAGTAAGTGCATGAATAATAATTTTACTTGATACTTCTTACAATTTGAGAATATAATCATTTGTGAAGTATTTCAGGCAATTACCTCTAAAAATATTTCATGCTGATAAGTAATAACCGATATAACTAAGTAATAATGCAACATCACATGTTTTTGTATAAGGATGGTAAATCTCACATTTAAATAACAGATTTCTATATGTATAGATACTAAAATTGCTTACTCTTCACACCCCATCTAAAAATTACCAATGAAAGCTCAAAGTTTCATAAATTATCACATGTGAATCCCTTCTCTTCCTCCAAAAAACAGTGTTCTCTTCAATCAAGAAACAAATTTATTCCTCATCCTTCAAAACCTAAGTGAGTGCTACACTATGTCTAACATTAAAACACCTTTTCAAAGCTCTTACCCAGTCACTAAGACTTACTAATAAAAGAACCATTTTAAACATGGTTCTTTTAAAAGAACATCTAAAAGCAAATTATTGTTCTAATCCACTTTTAGCATAGAGTTCACTTAACTAAGAAAAAATGTGTTATGTTATAAACATTGGTTTATTTTTAATAACTTCTACATTTTTTATATAAAATGGAATTAAAAACAAGATATTTATACAAGGCCAAACATCTACATTGAACTTGAATAATACAATGTTCTTAAATCTTGTAATGGAATTCAGTACACTATAGTTTAAAAAGTCCACTTTCAATCACAAAAATATATCCTTTAACCAATAACTCCCTTATGTGTGTTTGCATATGATCAGTAGGATCCACTTCTATAAACAAACACACATAGATCCCACCATGTTTTGAAAGAGTGTAATTTTGCTACAGAAGCTGATGATTACTGGATTGTGAAGCCAGATGAGCATGAGCAAGAATTATAGAATTGTGTGTATAGTGATTGTTAACCTGACCCTAACTTTAACTATAAAAACTGACTCTTCTGTTTCTTGAAATGTAAGCTAATTCTATTTTTCTAATATTACAAGCTTATTTTTAATCATAATAAAAAGGTATCGCATCTTTCAAATCAAAGAAAAATACCTGCAATTCTGTTTGATTTTTAAAAGATTACTATAAAATAAATACTGTGTAACTGTCAGTTAAGAGAAGACAAAATCTGTATTGACAGTGAAATACTACATGTCTCAGGCCTGGTAACTTACACTACTCATACCATGTAATCTAGGCCTATTGGCTTTCTCATTTAACTTTTTATCTTTTCCCGTACAGAAACCAATATCCAGCCTAATTCCTACTGTAATGCAAATCAGCATAAATCAAGGTAAGATATACAATAAAGAAAGTGAACATTATATACAGGTTATGTAGCAAAAGAGAAAGGAGAAAAGTTGCAGTACACAAAGATAACACACAAGAGGACTGAATCAGAAGCTATATGGTATTAAAAAAAATCTATAGCTAAATACTTTATCTGAGTATTTTGTGAATACACTGCATAACAGTATATAAAGAAAAGCTGAGTCTATTACTACTACAGTATGATATGCCCATGCTCTTACTTACATTCATCATACTTTTTTCTGACAAGTTTAATGACATGCAAAAAATATATAAAAATACAAAACCGAAAAAGTTACCCACAAGTGAACTTAAATTTATTTCAAACAGGTACTTAGCTCTTAAATACAAAAAGACTTTCCTTGTTAACTTGCTCACATGCTGTCAACATATGACTTATTGCACTTGAGTCAAGAGGACATACATAAGCCCAACATAATACAAATTTCACAGTTGCAGTTGTGATAGAAACCAAAACCACATATCTTCCAGTTGTTTGGAGGTGGGTAGGAATGTACTACATCTACTAACATGACACATTTTGTTACTTTGTATATGTATGCATACTGAGAGCATTAATATTTAATTTTGGCCTGTGATTAATTTAAGACTTTTAAGACCTTCAGCAACATATTTAAGACTTTAAAACCTTAAGAATACAAAAACCAATTTAATACTTTTAAGAGTGTGCAGAAACCCTGCATAGGGGCCACTGGGTCACCAAAATTTAGGTTCTAGGCAGAAAACTAACAACCTAGATCCAAAATGAAGAAAATGATGGATAAATAGGGATATGAAGTTAAGATAAATGTTCACACACATCAGAAATATGAATACTATTAATATTTTGCTGACTTCTAAATGCATCCACAACAAACTAAATATTAGGAGAAGGTGGAAAAAAGCAAAGATTCATATACCGAATCATCGAAGATGACACTAGCACTCCCAAGTGTAAATGAAATGTGTTCAATTTTATGATAGAATATACCTGAGATAAAAGAGAAGTTAGACCAATAAATTTCTTTGGGATGAGTCTAGCATATAAATCCTATTCTCCAGACTTTCAAGGCAACTGGCCTGTGCACTGAGATAATAATTGATCTTGCTCAAAATCATGAGAAAATGTTGTATGTTCCATAAATTCATTGTCCACACAATTATGAAGCCCACCAGACACACAAACAAAATAATTTGCATTAATGGCCTGAATACATCAATCAATAATGGTTTACAATACAGCGACAAAACCATCCTACATGCTAGAGGCACGCTGCATGAGTAAGGCCTCCAAAGAAGTTGTAGAATTCTGTTATTGTTTGAAGTACTTTGCATCAGAATTAACAAACATTTTTTGAATTAACTGTTGCAAAGTTAGCAGTACAACTGTCAACAAAAAAATGATTTTAACTTTATACACAAGTGCCAAAATACTATAAGTAAGTCTACTTGTTTTGAAAACTACTTTTAGACCATAAATCTACATAACATACTTTCTTAAAGTGGAGATAATTTCTGATGTATTGTAGTCTAACAGGTAATGTAAATTTGGCTAAGAAAAAAAGCAGTTGAACTTTTTTAGTTTGAGCTCCACTGAACCTCACATACAAAAAAAGAATGGTAAACCATCTTCTAATCTTAAGTAAAGTATTCTGAATCATGTGATATAAATACATATTAAAATGAATTTATTTCTATGACACAACATTCCTCCATCATTGCTAGTGTGATGAATGAAGTAATTCTTTATATAAAATAAATCTTCCACCAAAATAATATAAAAATCATTCTACTTATCAACTGTTAATTAAAACGTACATATCTCCTTTGCAACTGTTGAACTTATGGTATAAGAAATTGTAAAGGCATCAATATCATCTTACCTTATTCTGTTTGAACAAAATTTTTGTTTTTGTGGACTATTAATATATATAATTCTATGGTTTGTAACATCAGGTTGTTCTGTAATTCCAGACGTGTGATCATCTTCATCATCTGCAATAAAAATTCCTTATTATATAATATGACAAAAATTGCAGTTTGAAATAAAAAAATAACAATTAACTGTTCAGAAAAACATTTGAGTCATAGTAAACAAGTCTTTTTAAAATATGTTGTGTACTTTAAATAATATATATATATATATAGATGCATAATCTCAAACCTGAATTTAAAGTAATATTTTTTAGAGAAATTTTCCTGGCTAATAACATAGGTACAATACCACTAGAACCCTCAGATGAAGAGACTGCCAAATCATGCAAATAATGTGAAATAAAAGTATTGCGGGAGGTCCACATACCAGTCCGCACAATGATCTCCAGCTGGCAATTCAACCAGGCCACTAAGGACATAGAAAAGTGACAAATCTGAATAGACATGACCCGGAATAAAAAAAAGTCATTGTCTAGCATCTCTAAAGGCATTAGTGCAGGCAACCAAACCTTCAAGACCTGCACTGAACATGACCACAATTGAAATTGATCAGACATAGGAGTGAGACCTAGTGATCAGATGAATCAGTGAAAAATATTTAACCCCTTTCCTGTTAGACAGTGTCTTGAGTAAGAAGAAATGGTATGAGAGAGAAGAAGAATGCAGTCTGTGAACAAATAATGCAAATGAATGTGACCAGTGATATTTGTATAACAGCAGCCACAAAAAATAAATCTTCAGGTAAAGGAGATACATGGCATATAAGAGTCAGGTCACAAACAAGTGTTGAGAAGGAGCAAGTAATGTAACCTTAGTAGGCCTGTTAGGTAACAGGAATAATCATTTGGGACCAAGGACCCAAAGCAACTTGAGGAATTGGAAGAGTATTGGGAACACAAAAAAAATATGTAGTCATGATAATCAAATAATAGTCAACAAGGCCACCTGAAATAGGGTGTATGTGGATGATGCAAAAAACCTCCATAAAAAGCCAGGTTAAAAAAACAAAGTAAGGTTGGCACTTCTGATCAAAATAGGTTCAACCACCTCTCAATACACCATTCCTGATACAAGTGTCAATTCTGATGATAAATATAATTTCAGAATAAGCAAAAACTAAGACAGATACAAGTCAACCTTAGAAATGATATCCCCACGCTGTGCCTAACCTCTAGGCCTGAAGCTTAAGCATTTTGATAGCTGGGTGAACCATATCAGATCATGGCTGCCTCCACAGAAATAGTCTAAGAAGAAGTAGAAGAGGTAGACACTCTGGAAGGTACTGCAGGAGTAGCAGCCAAACAGGTGCTATTAACAGGACCCAACAACAGGTTGGAACAAATTATACTGAGTATCCTGGGTAACATATGAAGTGGAGAGAAGGCTTAGAGTTGTAATTTCATCCTGTCCTGATGGAATATATATATATTGCCAAAGCCCGAAGATGAGTTACTGGAAACCAAATGAACAGTAGTTGGGTGATCCAATGAAAGGCCAACCCACCAATTAGAGTTATAAAATGAGAGCAATCCAATAGAATCTAGCAATGCAGCATCTAGTCTGCCGGGAGAATCTGTTCAAATTGAGACAATTGACCCACTACCATAGGCATCACCTGTGGAACATGGCAAGCTAGTAGGGTGATAAGATAGGAATGATCCCAAAAAAGAAGGTCCAAAATTATAAAATAAGGAGCCCTAGACCAAGTGCCTCCTCGATGCAAAACATAAGACACTACCATGGAATTTCAGAGTGAAACCTGATGATTTTCCCCTTAATAAGTCCAGATCATGAGTCATTGCTTGATGGAGAACAAGAAGGACTAAAACATTGTGTAGGGAATCCTCTTCATCCATGCACAGACCCTGGAATTCTTGACTGTTGATAAATGCACTCCATCCCTGAAGAGACAGAACTCTGGACAATGCAGCAGAGAGGAACCCATATCATAGAAGTGTCCCAACTGAACAACCCCTTGAGATCAAAGAATGATCCCAATGAAGGAAACTGAGGAAACCTGTGAATCAAGATTTATGATCTCTTAGTTGCATAAAGACCAATAAAAGGATCTCCTGTGCTCTCATCCCAAAGGCATGAGAGAATCGAGTGATGCCCATATTCCCAGAAGAGAAAGAACCAACTGTGCAGTGGGAGAAAGAGAGGTGAGTAAGAGGGTGCCATCCTCTTCCATAGCATTAAGCCAGATGGGAGTCAGATAAACCCAATTGAGAGACAAGATGAAAAATAAAAAATACTCAAACTGATAACATTGAATTGGAACAAGAACATATCCTCAGCCCTGAAAAAGGAAGCCTGCCTTGTTTGTTTCTGAAAGTAGAATCAGGATGTGATGTTCTGACAGTTGACGAGATGGTGCCAGCAGAATCAAGTCATCCAAGGAATGGTGTGTGCCCAGTACAATAGAATGGAGGTGATGAGAAAAAACTCGTATGATAAGGTCAAAATTACATGAAGCCGATGCGAGTTCAAATGTAAAAACCAGGAACTGCAGAACTGACCCTTGTACACAACAAACGCCGATAGTGGTGGGACTTCCCTAAAATGGCAAAGTGCAGACAGAAGCTGACTACAGACTTGCACATCTACAATCCCAGTAAAAAAAAATCAGCTCTGATTGAAGAATGAGTAACTAGGCACTGAAATAAATGAGAAAGATTGATAACTGGACACCCATCTCCTGTCTGCATAGGCCCAAAAACAGAGGAATAAAATATCAAAAAAACTAGTACAAAACTCTCACTATCCCTAGACCAACCAAACTCTGGGAGCCCTAGAACAAAGTTCCAAATCCTGATGATGTGTGAGAGACAGAAACCATACAAGTTGGGTGGATAATAGTGGTGAAGATGTGAACTGAATGACTAATCCAGACTCAAGGACCTGTAGTGCTCCTGTATCCATAGTTAAAGTTACCATATGTCCAGAAATGCTTGGAGCGAAGCCTCCATGGACCCTGAAGGTACAAGAATCACTGGCACCACTAGCAATCCGGCCCAGCAGCAGAACCCTTGGATATAGAGAGAATCTATTCTTGATGCCAAGTTACCAAGAGGGTGATGTCAAGGGTTGGGACCCACAAATAGAGGTGGAACTATGACCTCCTGTAGTAGCTGATGAAATTTGAGCCTCCAACAACAACAGGGATGAAAAAGCCAAAAATTGAACCAACGTGTCTGCTAATAATGGATCCAGCTCATCATCAATGAAGTCGGTGATTCCTGAGAGTCTTCCAAAAAAGTGAAGTGAAAAAAACACACAATGTTGGATTTTAGAGTTGCAAGTCCGTATACTTACCCTTTGCCAGCAAGGGACATTGATTTATTCAGGTTAAATACAAACTTTGCATTAGAACCCCAAAATTCAAGTAGCAGATGTATGATTTGAGAGTCAGAAAATGCTTCCATCTGGTTGTGGTAGGCTAAACCACAAAGTTCAAACAATATGTCGAATAAGGCATAAGTGTCCCTTCACATAACTGAGAAGTAAACCTTCCAGCATGAACCACAATATCTGTGGATGGAGAGAAAACTAAAAATTTGCTCCCAGACCTTTCATCCATCAATAAGGTGCAGGCAAATTATCCCACAGTGGCCTACTTTTTTTAGTTTTTATAGGTCAGTTAAAGACTGTGTTGATTACCATTGAATGGATCATCATTCTGTGATGTAAATTTGTTTTGTTAAAGCAATGTTGGCCATCCGCCACATCCATCCTAAGGAATCAAACACCAGACCACAGCACGGTGAATCCACAAATTCACCACTGTCCCACAGGGGACTGAAAAGCCAACAGACTAAAAGTAAGTGCTGGAAAACAAATCTAAGGTCCCTCAAAATGTGGAGGATTGCCCTCAATTTTAGCCTCAGAGTCCCCCAGAGGATCATCGCAGATCCGAATACGTGTCTCTATCTCACAACATACAAGTTCCCTGACAGTCTCAACATAGAGTGACTCTACCCCTTCCCAACTTTTTTAACATAACATAATTTCAAAGGACAAAAAAGGACCTATGGTCCATCTAGACCATCTTGTCCACTAACATAAGCACTAAAACACTCAAAGCCAGCCTTTATCAATCAAATATTTATCAAGCTTTCCCTTAAACTCCCTTAAATTAACTGTATCTACCACATAATCACGAACCTATTCATGCACTGACAGCACTTAACATGAACAAAGACACACCAAAATGAAATATGAATTTTTTTGTAAGTATGATGAATTATCATAAATAGAATAGTTATATTTTCAGTATATTAGCCAATATTGCTTATTAATCTTAAAATTCAAAATATACTTTATTTGTGATGCATATGGTCAAACCTAGAGTTTATTTGTGGCATTGAGGCAATGTGAAATAGCTATTATTCTACACAACTAGAACAATTAACTTAATATCCAAAGTTGGTATAATATTTCAAACATCAGTTGTTTTTTTACTTAACATAAAATATATTGAAAAAGTATTAATATCTGGTTTACTGCTGACTTTATTTCACTTATGTATGCAGAAATATATTTATTATTTTCTCTCACTAACTATATGGTCTGTTTTCTTACCATTAAGGTTGCATTTAGTTCAGTCTTACCATACACTAAAAACTTAAATAATACATACAACATGAACATGTATTGAATAAAGTTAAATAAATGGACAAAATCAGCTTACCATATCTCCATGATATTACCCATTTGAATATTATCTCAAAAAAACTATTCAAGTAAGAAAGTGACCTTTGAAATCTAAATGTCTGTTCAGTTATGTGTAGGAAATTTCTTACTATTTTGTAATGCTTGATATTATATAGTTATCAAGAATCAAATTTGTTACAACTTTAAAATCTATAAAAAGTTCACTTAATATTACAGTCTGTACTCACCATCTAATCTTTCTAATTCTCCAGGTGGAAAAACCATTGGACCCATTTCCCAAAGAAAAGAACCTAGTTGTCAACTCTTAAACTTCCAAAGGTTCTTCTAAACAAAAGAACAGCAAACCAAAAAATATTCTTCAATAATTCATTACATTTTCTTACAGGATACATATTTTATAACAAGCCTATCAATACTATAAGAAGTTTGCCTCTCAGCCTAGACAACTCATTGAAGTAGAATAAAAAGAAAAATTGTAAAATCAGAAATATAATGAGCAGCTGTTTCCTTTTTCTTCATTATTGATCATGAAGTTCTTCCCCTGACAGTTTCAACTGCTAAACATATCCCATATATTTTCTGTGTTTATTTTACTGTCACCGACAAATTACAAACTTTCTAATAAAAAAGCAATAATTCACAGCCCGTGTTATAAGACAGTGTTTACATTCAACCGTAATACGAAACTCTCGAGCGTAAAAACGCACGCGTATAACTTTCTCACGGGAACGATGTTGGTACTCTGAGTGAAATGGACATTTAACTGTTCAGAACATAACATTACACAATACATCATTTGTTGGATGAAAACTTTGACTTTCTATTGGTTATAGATAATATATAATAAAACATAAGAGAGAACTATTAAAAAATTTTGAAAAGGGAGGATGTGACAGGTAGGCGTGGCATGAGGGGTCTGATTTTTATTTGATAGCACTGTAACCAAAAAATATTGAAGACTATAAAAATTATGGTTTGTCTGAGCAATATGGATTATTAGCTAAGATTTCATACTATTCTAATTGGTATAACGTAAAAAAAAAGTAGTTTAATAAAACTTTGAATGTAAGACACTAAAACCTTGTGTCATGCGCAGTAAAGAATACCCATGGCAATAGGGTTAACAAAAAACTGCTAAACTCTGCCATAGAAGTGTGCGGTATTATCAGCATACCATGGTTTTTGGTTACTGTGGTACAAACCAGTTTGAGTATGACCTGTACCAGTACTCTGACAGTTTCCATGGATGAGGAATTTATGGAAAATCCCAAGTGAAAAATTACAAGTTTAATAAAGCTAAATGCATTTTTTCAAGCAATTACAAAATAAATCTGGCAGTGTAATTGAAGATAATGTTGTACTTTGTGGTAGCTGTTAAATGTGCTAGCAGTGGAACTTCAAATTTAATGGCACATATTCATAGACATCATCCACTATTGATGAAAACAAACAAATCATTATCACATTAAGACAGTTAAGGTTAACCCTCTTTCAAAACATATTGTGACAGTATCATTGTTGCTACGAGGTCTGGTGAACGAAAGTAGAATTCTGCAACCCAACAGACAATCTCTGGTATGTTTAAGAATGTGAAAAAATACTAGACAACATCACGCAGAGCAAGTGATATTGCAACTAGAATGATCAGCTTCATAGTAATAGATCTTAGGCCTTATTGCATTTGGTGAATTCGATTGACCTCATAAATTACCAATTTTTCTTTCTAGAATGACTTCAGATTGTAACATGAAAGAAGAGATATCTTGGCACCCCAGGGTGTTGGTTTAGAGTAGGGTTGTTTTTTCAATTAAGATGGATTCCATGATTTTATTCAACAAATAAACTATAAAGTATTTCTGAAAAAAAAATGTTTGAAATGCATTTAGGAGGTTTTAGGGATTACACAAAGGAAATTTGAGATTTTTG